GGAGTTTTTTTCTATGTTTAAATGTTGTTATTCTCTCAAAATATTTTAAGTCATTTTTTATTAAATCTTGAACTGCTTGATGAAGAAACTTGAAATATTCCATCTACAAGATATTCATAAACAGTAAGTTGTGATTTTTGAAAAATTTTTTTTAAATTTTTTGTAAAAAATAGTATCTTGTTTTATTAAAGATGTTTTTTTTTCAATTTATTGCTTAAATGTAATATAGTTATATTCATGATTTTCTTGTTTCAAGTATATTAAAGAATGATGATTATTATTTTTATTTGACATTTTATGTATTTTTTATTTTTTTAAAACTTAATGGTATTTCCTGCCAAATTTATTATGGTTATTTTCTAAGATCTTGAAAACTGTACAATGCCCACCTCCTCAAGATATTTTAATGTACTATTCAGCCAAAATAATTTCTTAATATTTTTTTTTCCATTAAATTAATGGACTTTACCTGCTTCTCAGTATCAACCGACCTATAAAAAATCATCAGCAACATTTACCTTAAAGTTGAACATTAAAAATACGTGGTTTGTTTATGAATTCAATTGTTCATCTTTTCCACACATGAAATTTTTAATAACTTTCTGCATTGTTTTTAATTTGGTAATTAAAGATTTGAGAATAAAGTATATTTTGGACTTTTTTCTTGAATGAAGAAAGCCATTAAAATTGGATACTTAAGTTTTAAATATATTTTCTGCTGTGTTATTGAATTTTATTATTCCAGACTTGTCTACAGAAAGGAAACTGATTTTAAGAAAAAAAAAAAAACAAATGAAATACTTTTCCTCCCTGAGTCTTATGTGCTTTTGTTCTCAAATACTTCTCAACAATCAGTGACTATATTTTCCTCTAATCATTAAAATTAAGTAATATTGTACCTAATTCATTTTATTTGTGGGATCATATGATACATTTTCTTGAAACCCAGTCTGTTTTAACATACTCTTTTAAATTGGTCATCCTTTCTGATTTTCTGATATAGATTTCTGCAAAAATTCCTTGACACTATAAATAAATTTACTGCATTAGAGCTGTTTGATAAAATTTTTCTGATTTTTAATTAGCTAAAGAAATAATTCCGAAAATTAATATGTATTAGATTAATGAAAATGTCTATATAAAAAAGAGGATTAACCAATTAAAAGTAGTTTAATTTTTAAACAGAAAAAAAAAAAAATACCTAAATGTCTAATAAAAAATTGCACTTGTTTATTTTTTAATGCCATGTCTCTTCAAGATGGAAAGGAAAATATATTTTTACAAATTATTTTCTTTTTTATAGACAAATTGCCATGATTTTCATATTGGGAAAGAAGGAAGTGGTTAATCAGACGTAAAGTTAACAGAAAGTTTTAAAAAAGTTTTTTTTAAACTTCAGGACCTAATGCTCAAGAGCACAATTGAAAAAAATTTAAGAATATCTGGTGGTGGTGGTGGTGGTGTGAATCTAAAATTCCCTATCAATACATAGCAACATTAGTGAAATAAATAAAACATGATAGGATGGAACTTAAAATCAACTTGTTGATTCCATTTTCCATTTGGATTTACAATGAGGAGTTTAAACATATTTTTGATGGTAAAGATAAAACTTTGTGTATTACTGTGAGGTATAAAATATCATTCATACAGTAGGAAATATGCCTTGTAGATAAGTTGAAACTGAAATCACTAAACTTTGTTCAATTCAAAGATTTTAATTTTGAGATTGAAATATTTTATATTTTCAAATAATTTAATTTTTTCATTCCTATTTCAGTAAAATGAAATATAGATATATATATATGTTATATTTTGTCATGTATAAAGAAATCAGCTGATTTAAATGTACATATAATTATTTCAATATTTCTTCCTTAAAAGAAAATGCTATGTTAAATATTTCATTTTCAAGAAGAAAAGGTATTGGTTGTAATATATTCCAAGCTTTTCAGTTCATATAAGATATGTTTCTTTTTGGAATACATTATTACTCAAATTTATTATTGTCAACTAATTTTATAACATTTAATAAAAAAATTTTGATTTTCTATTTAGAAAACATAAAAAGATATAATAACATGATATATATATATATATATATATATATATATATATCAAAAATCTTCAAAATATATTTCTATTAAACATCTAACATTTCATTTATGCAATATTTACACATTCCAAAATTACCATAAAATTTATTTTTATTGAAAATAAATAATTTTTATTATTGAAATAACCAAAATTTTTATTATGCTTATTTTAATATCCAATGTGACTAAAAATATTTTTCAGCTTTCATCAAAGTGGTTATTATGGACATTACAAAATTTGTGACCATCTTCACATATATAATGTTTTCATTTACATAGAATTTGGTAAGAAAAAATTAAAAAAAAATTATTTTTTGTTTGCATGGACACTATTTTACATCAGACTTAAAATTTTATTTCATTTTTGTCAATTGTAAATTATAATTAAACATTTAGATTTTTTGTTAAAAACAATTTTTTAAATATATTTTGTATACATTAAAAAAACCGCATTACAAGTTTACCCCTGATTTTCTATTGTGTTTGTTATATGTTTTACTTTTTTTTGTGTAATAAGACGATATGTTATCTTTTTATTTGATGCAATCTCTGTAATAAAATGAAAATATATTCCTGATACTTTGAAAACAAACCCTGAATAGTTTGTTAGAAAAATAAATTTTTTCTTCAATATTTTTAACGAAATATACAAATGAACAATATTTTGAAAAAAATGGTTTTATCCTTGAATAAAGGATTAACGGCATGCATTCAAATAAAACATTTTGACATATAATATTAACAATATATGTCCATGAACATATTTTGAATAGTACATATATAAATATATATATATATATATATATATATATATATATATATATATATATATATATATATATATATATATATATATATAAACCTAGTGAGCCAGACAAACCTGCAGGTTTCACCTAAGCGGATCGTCAGGGGAAATATATATTTCTGACGATCTGCTTAGGTGAAACCTGGGTAGTTTTGTCTGGCTCACTAGGTTTATCTAGGTCTGCTCTACGGTTGTATTGAGCTCTTTTTTAGTTAGTTGTTTACTCATGTCGGGTTTTTTTTTTAATTGGAGCTTCAAACCTGTATCTGTGCGATTTTTTTCGACAGACTTTCATGTTTCTAGCTCTTTCTTTTTTAAAACCTTTTTTTTCCTTCAAGATTGATTTGATTATTGGCAAAAAAAAAAATTTGAGGGTTTTTGAAACGAGTATAGTTATCTATATATATATATATATATATATATATATATATATATATATATATAATAGTTTGTTTGTCTCATACTTCAATATGATCTTCAAAGTGTGAAATTGACAGTCATCATGTACTGTTGATGTATATGGCCATAATTTTTTTTTTTTTTTTTTCCACACTGAATGGGGTAAATGAAGGATATAAATACAGTTTGTTTATACAGATAAAGGAAATGGCAAAGCTAAATTCAAAAATTACTAGCATAATCTTTTTATTATCAAAAGAAAATGTTCTGAAAAACTGCACACACACACACACACAAAAATTAAACTAATTTTTATCTCTTTATATTATTGATAATATTGTGTAATGATATTAACCATTTAACCATACAGCATCTACTAAATCATGATCACTAATACTTCAGATATCAATTTAAGTAGATCATATTTACTGTGCATAAAATCTCATCCTAAATCTACTTGTAAATTTTATTGGCACCTAATAAAGATTTAACATTAACTCTTTTAACTAATGTAGTAAATATTTTTTCTATTACTCTTCGATTAACTCAAATTTATCTATAATATTTTTGACATCATAAAAGTAATTTTTAGCACACATAACTGAAAATCTCTTGGCAGAAAACTTAGTTTTCAACAAATATGTTAGCTGTTCTTCCAAGCATGCACCATTCATGTAATTTTTAAATTATATGCACTATATAAAAATTTAAGCTTCTTTTTGACTTAAAAAAAAGTTTTTAAAAAAATATTTACATATTTTCGGTAAATAATATTAATTTATAATAGATTATTTTCATGTACAAATTTATATAAGCTATATAAATGGAATTTGAATTTTTTAATAATTCATTTTGGATTTATTACATTTTAAACTGAAAATTAAAAATTTAATATGATCAAAGGCTTTATTGTTTAAGACTTTTTTCTTTCAATAAAATAATTTTGCATCATTAATAGCAAATATGCTTTCTTGATAGAACAAAAACAAACAAAACAAAAATATAAATTTAGTTTTATAAATTCTTATTTTGTTATTTTAATAAAAAGAATAAATATTCAATTTATAAAAAGTTGTTTTTGTTTGCTCCTGTTCTATCACAGAAAGCATATCTGCTGCTATTAATGATGCAAAGTATTTTATAATTAATTCCCTTTGGTAATTCTATCATCATGGTGGCATAACAGTTCAAAAATTACAAGCAATTTGGGCATTTTTTAAAAATTAAATATTAAGGAAAAAACTTGATTCATTTTATTTTTTTAAATTGCTTCTGTTTTCTTAAAGTGATATATATCTTTATATCTTAAACTACATTGCTTAAATCCTGACAACTTCTCCAACTCGTATTCCTGATATAAACCTGTATTTTTTTTTTTTAATTTCTAACATGGGACCTTGACTGAAGTTACTTTGGACTGTCCTAGTTTCTATAATGACTCTTCCATGACTACATGACTATCAAACCTTTTGGATATTAATAACAGCCAATCATTTCTAATCTATATTTGTTATCATCTTTACAAAATTAATATTTGCATCACCTCTTGATACTTTTTCCCTACTATTGTTAATGATCCTGACTTTTTATTTAGTTTTTAACCCTTTGTAATGATTTTTTTTTTTTTTTTAATATTTTCTACTATTATTTCTTGTGCCTGTACAAAATTGTTTATTTGATTTTTGTTGTGACGACATAGCATGGTCTCATATTCTTCTTTCTTTAATGACTTGTGCATCTTTCTTCAACTTTTCATGGGATCCTCAATGGGAATGCAATTGCTAACAACTGGAATTATTTCCCAGAGTAACTCTCATAAGAGTTGCCCTTTGGAAAGTAGTTGCATAAATTTGCACATTGTATTTGTACACAAGACTGACAAATGCTAACCTGGGCCTTGTATACTTTTATTTCAGATACAGTGCACAACTAAAGGAAATAGAAACTGAAAAGTCAACCTTGGTAAAACAAATTGAAACCAGAGGTGCACTCATAAAAGAAAAAGACTTGAAAATTACTCAGCATCAAGAGGAGGTATGTATCTACCTTTTTTACAGTAATGCAAGACCAGTTTTATATTTAAACATCATACTTAAATACTTGATTCAAATTAATATTATCGCTCTTAGGTGCTTCTACACACACATACATGTGTCAGATCATTGACTGGATGACCCTTTCAAATACTCCTACAGTGTTGAATGATTTTGCTGACCCCTGTGACATGTTGATGAAGCATCTTTGCATTATTAATGTATTTTACATAAAGCAATTGTTTTAGGTGCACCTACAGATGAAAATCCAAAAGATTGAGGTTAGGGGAACATTCAAGCCATGGAAACGGTCCTCCCCTAACTATCCATCTTTTATTGTAGATGTCAGCCAGTGCATCACAATGTGACTAAAATGTGCTGGAACCCCATCATGCATGAACCACCTTGCATCTTCATATTATCAGGGGTACATCCTCTAGCAGGTCTGCAGGTGTGTTTGAAATAAAGTCCCTGTAGACAGCTCCTGTAAGACGTGCTGGGAGAACATATGGACCTGTCAGACAGTCACCTACAATTCAATTCCACACATTAATCATAAACTGATAGTGATGTCCTGTATTGTACCGTGGGTGTTCCAATCCAAACACACAAATGTTGGTTGTGTAAATTTGTTATTCCATCTCTTCCAAATGCAGCCTCATCCGTAAACAAAACTGAAGAGACAAACAACAGATCGGCTTTTTGTGCAATAAATCATTGGCAAACTTTTCCTGTAGTGGGTGATCAGAGGGCAAAAAACCCTGCACACATTGCAAATGATACAGATACAAGAACTACATCCATTACTAAGAGATGTACGACATGCTAGGGCCACTTGACATATCCTACTATTGTTAAACGGAACACTTCTCAGTTAACTCACTACTACAAATACTGAAGACAGACTAACCACAAATGTACATGAATGACAAATGTAACCTAGTCTACATGCCAACACAGTGTCATCTACTGTAAACTTTCTTTAAATTTAATAACTCAAAAACAAAGGATTTATAGACATATGCTTATATGCCTTAGGTTTGAGGGACCTTTCCCAAAGTTTGTATAAGTATTTTTGATACACCAGAGGTGTGTATATATATATATATATATATATTGTTGTAATCTAGGAAAATTTACTGAATAAGAATAACCAAAATGAAGGTTGGAAATGGAACAATAATTATAACAGAAACAACATACAAGATTCACCAGTGGCATGTAGTAAGTAATCAACTGCTAGTGCTGAATCCCAAGTGGAAGACAACATACAGTATATTCCAATATATATATATATATATATATATATATACACACACAATAATGGCATCCTAGATTTCCAGGAACCTGTTTTATAAAGAGAGGTAATCGTTAGGAACCTATTCTGCTTATTTTCTTTTCAGTCTGAGAATGGAAACAAATCACTTTATATAGCATCAAAAAGAATTAAAACATTTTGATAATTTAATAGAAAACATTTATTCATTAAGATATTTCCAGATTGAAATTCTGTTCTCATCATATTTCTGTTCAGAAGTATGATGATTTTTGAATTTTAGTATCATCAGCTGTGTTATCATTTTTAAAGTGATTCATTGAAAAAAATCTTTGATAGATCCCAAAATGAGCTGAAGGTGATGGCAAAAAAAAAAATTTTTAATGATCAATTGAAAATCATTTTATCATTTTAAGAATTCACTCCTGAGTTATTCCTCAGCATCAAACTTGCTCCCATCTGAACAAAAATCAAAACCAAATTACTCTTCAAATATTGAACATGAAATCCTACTGAATGCAGACTTTGTAGTAGAGAAGTGAAAACGATTTCAGCATCTTAGCTTTGTAATTCCACCAAATCAACAAAAACTATTGGTGAAAAATCACTATCTTGACTTTGATAATAATGATAAGAACTGGTTTAAATGATATTGTTGTGATTTCATCAATTATAACACTACTCTTTAAATTCTGTTCAATTATTTTATTGAATACTTCTTTTTTAATGTCCTTTGCAAGAGGATCAACAATTTTCATGGCAGTCTGTCAAGAATGAAGTCTCACTCCCATATCTAACCCATTTTTTATTTGTAGTTCTATCAATTGTTCAATATCAGAAAACAGTCTGTTTTGTTTTGCTAAAAATTTTACAAGTGGAGCTCATAAACTTGTTTGCTTTGTCTATGGATTTGGAAATTTCATTCTTCGCACTTTCTTTTAATTGCATTGTGCGTATCTGATGTGCTTTGATAAAAAGCGTTCCTTTATTTTTTATTTATTAATTTTTATTTTTTGAAAGATCCTTGGAGAACTTACCCATGTCCTGACCGTGACAGGACATCAGGCAAATCTCCTCAACCTCTTCTTAACTTCTGCTCTGATAAATGCTTAGCAAAATTTTTACCTTCACTAGGCATGTCGGACCATTCCCTAATCAGTGTCCAGATTAATGCCAAACCTGAGGCATCTCTTGATGTACTATTCCATACAAGGATTTTTTTTGTTAGAAAAAATTATAGACTGGAATAGAAGCTGATCCGGCATGATTAAAAAGCTCCCTCCCAAAATTCTTCAAAAATGCCTTTCTCAAAACTGCTGACCTTGTCACTGATTGGATCCTTTCTGGACTGGGGAGTTTTATACCACCCCAAAAATCCTGCAAAAACCAGTCAGCCCTGGGTCACCTCTGAATGTGCTGCAGCTATAACTCACCAAAACCACCACTTCAAAATCTACCACAAGGAGCAATGTAGTTCAGCCCTCACTGCATTCAGAACTGCCTACAATTGCTGCACAAAAGTTCTAGAAAATGTCAAGTGCAGCTATACATGAGCAGCCCAGACCAAGATTGAAAAGAAACAAATTGGATCCCATGAATTCTGGAACTTCACCAACCAAATCATGAACAGAGGTAAAGTGGCTGTGCCCACAATTATAAATGGCTCAGAGATCATATCTTCCTTGACAGATAAGGCTTCCCCTCTATTTTTGCCTCTAACTCAACGTTAGACAACAAAGACCAGCCCCTCCCCAACTTCCCACATCTCACTGAGCACAATCTCAGTAATATTATCAATACAGCATGAAAGTCTCTGGATTTAGATGTATTCTTGACCCAAGAAAAATTCTGGTCCAAAAATGGATATTTTTCCTAGAGTCTTCTCAAAGTTATTCAACTGTTCATGTGAAGAAGAAATTCTTCCCTAGACTGTGGAAGGTGTCAAGCATATCCCAGTTTTCAAGAACACAGGGTGTTATCTGCCTATCAGTCTCCTCAGTAAGCTTTTTGAGGCCATAATCAATAAGAAATTTGTTGAGCACCTAGAAAAGAACAACCTCTTCAGCAACGGATTTTGGTTGGCCCAATCCACTGCTGACATCCAAACTACCATCACTCACAGAATCAGTGAAGCTCTTGACAACAAACACACCTCAGGGAACATAGCATTAGATTTCTCAAAGGCTTTCGACAAGGTGTGGCACAATGGTTTACTACACAAGTTCTCCAGTTATGAAATCACTGGAAGGGTCTTTTCAATCTTCGGAAAGTGCTCAGACAAACTACATTCCCTAGCCCCGCCAATCAGACCTTCATGGCACGAACATGCCATGCCAATTACAGAGTAGCAAGCAACCCACATTCCCTCCGTATTCCATCAGTGAGACATAAGTTCCACTTGAGCAGTTTCTTCCTCCAAACTACTGCTCTGTAGAACCAACTCCCAACAGGATGTTTCCCTGATCACTACAATCTTAACGTGTTCGAGGCCAGAGTTAACTGTTATCTTCCACTCCGAGACACACAAATGGCCTCCTAATGTAACCCTCTACCTCAAGTGGCCTCGGGGCCTTGTAAAGGGTGAACCTTACTTTTTAAAAAAAAAAAAAAACGCTTGCTAAACTATTTTATTTTTTCTACTTGGAATGACACTCCAGCGTCTCCGTTCCCTTGACACATGGGTTTCCCTCACATTTGCTGACTCAACTTTGGCATATATATCCCAACCAAATATTTTTCTTGTTGACTTCATCTTCTGTTGTCTTAGCAAATTTAGATGGCAAAACCTGCTTCAAAATATTATCCTTTGCTTTTGGTTCAGATTCTGTATCAATTTTTTGGACTTTTATAAAGAAGTCCGATATTGTATGAAATTGTTGCTTCGTTTCTTGCAAGGGTCTCCTATTTTACTTTTACGTCAACTCTCTCTTTCTCCCTATTTTTTCTACACAGCTACTGTTATCTATCTCTATGTTTCTTTTTACTTTTTTTTCTTCCCTACTGTTTATTGTTGTGTGTGTCTATTAAAGTTTCACTAGGTGTACACACACACACACACACACAGCATAACTAATATATTACCTAGACCATCAGCTATTAATATATAAGATTATTTTTTAATAATCCAACAACCAGTTCACTAAGGATTTACAATTTTAAGAATCAGTTTGTGTGAACTGGTAGGATATATAACTACTAAAATATATAAATGTGTATTATATATATATATATATATATATATATATATATATATATATATATATTGTGTTGGCTTTGAATACATTATATGTTAGTACTTGGATTTATAATAACCTTTTATTATTAATGATCTCTGGCTGTATATTGACTAAATGCTTTTTATAAGAAATAACAGTTTATTATTAAATATTCATGTATTGAAACTGCTGTACATTTTCATCATCGATAGTTTTAACAAATCAGGATTACAGAATTGCTATAAATTTCAACTGTAGATATCTGATTTCGTACACAGTATATATTTTTTAAATTTTTATAAATGTTCTATTTAAGAAATAATTGAAACATTTTTTATGTAAATGCTTAGAATATTGCTGTCACATACGGCCTGATGCCCCTGCTATTTACCTTGAGCTCCTTGACAAAATCCAAAGAAGAATCAGCAATATTATCAGTCCTTACCTTGCAGCTCAGCTTCAGCCATTTTCCTACAGTTTCCTCTCTGTGCCTTTTCTATAAATACGTTCATGGTAATTGTTCAGATGAGCTATGGTATCTAGACTTTTTGAATTTAAACACAGTACTAGACTGGTATCGAGATCTCATCAATTTACAGTTGAGCTGGCTAGATGTAACTGTAAATTCTATGCTAACAGTTTCTTTTCTCACACTTGTGGAACTCCCTTCCGGCTCCATGCTTTCCAGCCAACTTTAATCTGCAAAAATTTTAATGCAATGTCTATTGCTATCTGCCATCCTGATTACTCTTTTCTCTTCCCACTCATTACTAATGTTTCTATTTCTAATTCTTCTGCACCCAGTAACCCCTTAGTGACCTTTCTGCATGGGTTGATACTGATATTTTAAAAAAATACCTTAAATGAGATATCATAAACAAAATTCCCATAAAAATTGCTTACCATTTTCTCTTGTAAAGAAAACATTAATGAGAATTCAAAAGTTTAGCACTGTGAGTCATTTACCTATCATGTTTTTCTTTTCCAGTTAAAAAAATTAAGCAAAGAAAATATCTCACTGAAAGAGAAATCTGCCAATGTGGCAGATGACTTGGTTCAGCAGAATCAGCAACTGTTGGAGAAAGTCAAGAATCTTGAAGCAGAATTAGCTGCCACTTGTTCTCTTACTAATGGAACTTCTGAAGAACCCACTAATACAGGTTGATGTTATTCTAATATAAACTTTACCAAATTCTTGAACTTTTGTTAATTGCAACATAATTTTTTTCTTCTTTAGAAAAAAATCTTATCACATAAGTATCATGGATGTTTTACAAGTACTAGACTGACTACCAAGATCTTTTTGAACTCAGCATATTCCTTCTCCTAGGTGAATTTATGATAAGAACCCTCACTTACAAGATGGAATGTCAAACCTTTTTGCCTCCAGCCTGCTGCACCAACTTTCAAGTGCAGTTGTTTTAGAGGGATTTCTGAACATCTAATGTAGTTTTAATCTCAAATGCTTGAATCCCATTTCAGAGATGTTAACTGGCCTGTCTTGTATTCTGAAGATGTCCGTTATATCCATGTGGGATCTCAACTCCCTAATATGTGCACCATGTGAGTTGGTGAGGCCAAAACTGCTTGTTTAAAAATATATATACACTTTTCTTTAAAAATCATATATACACTTTTCTTTAAAAATCATCATACTTTTTTTAAAAAAAATCTTCAGTAAAAATAATAAGAATTATTTTTATTTCAATCAATTCATTCTGTTAATGCTTTCAATGTCATAAGTTTTTACAGAAGCCAAGAATTTCAAATTGAAGATGGCATGCATATTGGGTGTTGCTTTGAAGGTATTAAAAAAATTATAATTATGCTATATTAAGACTTAAATTTCAATTTTTGAATTCTTTATTTTTTTTCTTTAAGAAATTTGTTTAAGAAAGTTTGAAAGACTTTGATATTTGTTCTGTTAAAAAGAAGAAAAATTCAAGTCCATGTTTATTTTTCCTGTCATTGGTTTTGATTTCAGACTGTTTGGAAGTAATGCAGGCAAAGACATATACCAGCTTTAGCCATTTTGTAATCCTGTTAGAAAAGGGGTCCTGTTCATTATATAAATAGTGTCAATCAATCCCTGATTTCATAGTTTCTGTACTTTGTTTTTATTTACAAATGCCAAGTTTCAAAATGTGTTTGTCATTTGATAACTCTTTAAGAAGTCATGAATTGATTTGTTACTATATTATGAACAGAGCTCCCTCTTCTAAATTGATTAAAAAAAAATTCCTTATTCTTTTATGAGTGAACCTGTCAGTTTAAGTAGTGCCAAAAAATATTCATTTAATGACTCCATTTGAAAATTTGAAAACATTTCTTTGTAGAAAATGAAATCATTTCGAAGTTGAAACAAGAAAAAGAAGATTCACTTGCTGAGGTAAGACTGTCACTCTTGTACTTTTGAACTTCTGTTTATATATTTTGCATTTTAGGTCATCTATCGATATGGTCAGAGCTTTGATTGAAACTTCTGATTTTTTTATTTTCTAACAGATTGAATTCCTTAAGGCTGAAATTGTGTATCTCCACATGAAAAATGAGAATTTGAAAGCTCGTATGGAGAGTATTGAAAATGGTGACCTAAAAAATGGTGAGCCTGAGGAAGTCAAGTAAGTAGTTATTGTTTTCTAACCTGCATATTTTATCCTCGAATTTTATTTTCCTGTTAAAACAAACTATCCTCCCTATGCTTCTATCAATGTTATCAAATCTGTCTAAACAAAGGCAATGCTGAATAGTTGCAAAACATTTTATTTTTATTTAGAAGTGGGAAGTGGGAGGCAAATAATTATTTATGCCTTGTCTTGAATCTTCAAATAAATGGAGAATTTTTAAAGTCTATAACTTGTCTTTTAAAATTTCTTTTAAATAACATGAAATTAATTTTCTTTTACATTACAGTTTTGAACCTGTTTGTTCATTTTTCGTAAAATTTAAATAAAAATTTAGTTGGTCTATTTATGAAATGTAGCATTTTAATTGCTTATTTTAAAATCTTGAAAATTTGTGTATCGAATGGATGGGGGGTATCAAATACTTTAACCAATTAGCAAAAAATACTTCATTGTTTTATTCAGAAATTACCTTGCGTACCTCATCTCTCTTGTGTGTTTAAAATAGGTGTTATAAAATTATTCAATGAAAGACTCCTATGAAAGCTAGTTAAGCATTAATAATTATCTGGATTTGTTGGAATTCCATTGACATTGATAACTAAGATTGTCCATTGTTTCCAGTTCTTTTTAAAACCATTTATCCCATTCTTCACTCATTGATTCTTGATATTCATCCATTAAGCTTTTTTTTCTTTCCTCTCCATCCCTTCCTCTGTTTGTTTTTAGCTTTCCTTTCAATTGGATTCTCCCACCACTTTCTTACCTCATATGTCACCTACTTCACAATATATTTTTCCTCTTCTTCCTTGCTTTTCCCAATTCCATACTGTTTCATTCATACGCATATGTGGGGGGTTTCTTGTTAAGAAAATGTAATTCATTCCATTTCAGAAAGGTTGTGACTCAGGTAGATATTACAGATCCTAGGTAGAATAGCATAGTAATGGCCATACATACAAGTAGATTAATCATAAAAATTCTATTTATCTAACATAGAATAGTTACTAAAAATTGTTTATCTTAAAAGCATTTTGGGAAATGTGAATTAGTCATAGTCTCATATTTCTAACTTTCTTTCAGGAAGCGAAATATTCTTCCACCTCGTCTTTTCTGTGATATATGTGATGAATTTGATCTCCATGAAACTGAAGACTGCCCCAAACAAGAAATGTCAGAAAGTCCACCCTGTACACAATATCATGGCAATCCTAAACAGGAAAGGCCTTTCTGTGAAATTTGTGAAGGTAAGACAAATATCTTGTTTTTATCCTGTAAGTTATGATTGTATACGAAAAACAAAGTTAAATGCATTCATGTCTGCCTTTAATATTTTTTTTTATCTTTCATCAAAAGTAATTTTCTTCAGGGAAAATCTTTTTAATGCTAATAATAGTTTACATGATACTTTTCATATTACAGTTGCATCTAAAAATACTGATTATTTTACTGCCACATGATAAAATGTTAAGGCTACATTTACCCATTACCAATATTTCATTGCCAGGATTTGTTTTATATAGCAGTTGTGTTTAGTGTAACTAAAAGTTTTCAGCTGAAAACATAATTATTGATTTGGCTCAACTTGTTGGTCTCTCATAAGTGTTTAATATTGGGTTGTCTGTATCTGCTTGGGACTGATAAATGGGGTAATTGACCAAAATATTGTTATGCAGAGGAAGCAATATGACTTCCAAGTGTGATAGGAATGTCAATACAGATTAAAGGGATATTTTGTAAAATATAAATAAAAATTATCTTTGTGTGTATTATGTACTCTTCCATCAATTTTGAAGTATCAAGGCTCAACAGTTTAGTTTAGCACTGAACTGCTACACTATCCACACAGTTTGCTTTTATAGAACCAGCCATATTTTTGCTTGTTGATTTGCTTGTATAGAACCAGCCATATTTTTGCAAGAACTGATAAGGAAAATGGTCCATAGTGTGCCACAAAGTCTCTAAATAGCCCTTGTATGATTTGAATTTGGTTTTCATTTTCTCATACTGGCTGCCACCTAAGACAAGAGCTCATTCTATCTTGCTATTGAAACCTATACCTGGAGGAAGATGGATTCATGCCTTTTCTTAAAGCAAAATGAACAAAACACAATCAACTGGAATTTGAACTCATCATTTTTCCATGCTAATAACTGTTAAAACTATATGCTTTGAGAAATTGTTCAATTTCTAATAATGTAAGGGATATCATTTGCATACCAATTCAAATAAAACATCTGAAAGTATAGAATACTTGTAAACCTTTCTATCAGCTGATTTACACAGACTACATGGCTATACATATTATTTTAAAAGCAAGCATATCTATTATGTCTGATAACTATAAACTACATTTGGCAACAAAGCCTCTGATCAGGAGATTGGAGGATTTGAGAAGCGTGGAGCCACCTCTTGCTATTGTTCCCAAGCCTAGGGTAGTAGCACCTGTTAGGGTCCCAGCTATGGGCAAATAGTGAACCCCCAACCAAAAGCAAAACCTTATGAAAGTATAAAAATACAAGCAATACATTTTTATATAAAAAATTACCAACCATACCTATTTATCATAGAATTACCAACAATATATTTATCTGTAGTTGAAGGCATATTTAAAATATTTAAATTTCGGCATTAGATAACCCTTAGCCGCTAAACAAAATCAACCAACCAAAATTGTATCTGAAGGTTAAAAATAAACTCCATCTAGACATTCATATTAAACATTCAACATCATTAAATGAAAGCCTTTTGCCTTTTCCATTAATATAGTCACTGTCACTCATTTAAAAATATAAACTTCATGGCAGTTAGTAAATCTCATCACATTTCAGTGTTATTGCTGTGGCCAAACAATACTTCTTCCTCATCTTTTATTTCCTATTTCATTGCTGACTGCCTTCCTCTGTTCTGTTCATGCTGCTTTTCTTCAAAGTTCATTCTGATTTCATTTCTACTCTGTTACTTAAAATAGATTTTAATCATTCAGGGGTTTTTTTTTTTTTTTTAATAAACTTTCATTATAATCAATCAAGAATCTTTTTAAAAATTATATAAATAAGAGGCTTTAACTTTCTTGCTTATGAAAATAAATGAGAAACAAAGATTACATTTTTTTTTATATAGAAATGTCTCTTAAGCAACCATCTACACATTGTGAGATATGATTCTACAAATTAATCAAAAAGGGAAAGAGAAAAAAACATTTCTCACTCATGTCACAAGATATTATTTTGTGATTTTTGTTTCTATTAATTCTGAAAAGCAATTTTGAAAATTTCTCCCCATCATTTTTAACAGATAAATTTTTAGTTTTCCAATTATACAATTCCATTTTTGCAAATCTTTTATGTCTTCCATTTTTGATTTTTGCTTATTATTTTTGTAGCCTAGTTTTTTAACACTTAAAAATTTCTTTACTTGATTCATTATTAGTGAATAAACTGAGAAATGAATTTAAAGTAAAAAAATAATCTGATAGTTATTTGCTTTTTAAAATGTTCATCAGTCTAGATCTTATAAGTATTGACTTTTGAATATAAACTTTTTAATCAGTTTTATGTACTTGTAGGTTTGAATTTTGTCACTTTTTATATTTAAAATACAATGTGAAACTCAAATATTTTTGTTCATAATTTACAAATATTGGCAATTTCACAATGACTTAGTTTCTTTGTTCCTGTGCACAAATATAAGAATATGAAATAAGTCAATAAATGGCCAGTCAGAGCGGCCCAATCTGATCAAGCGGCTGGTCATGACAAACCCTAGCACCGATAACTATATCAATTTATGGAATACTTTATAAATAAATACAATACCCCAAATATAAACCGGAATAAAATACCATCTCTATACAATTTATAGGTGCTAGAAGATGGCTGAAGGTCAGTTGGTTTGAAGAGATCTAGACTTAGACATGGCTGGGAACATGCCAGTTTGTATGCATATTTGGGAAGTGCAACAAATGGTTTAATGAGTGCTCAATCTCTCTCAAATATAGTATACTGGTTTGTGTAACCATGACCTGTCAAATCAACTGGGTTTCCTCCTTGACACATTCCAATGTCAGGCTCTGAGGTGGGTGAGGAGCACAGGCAGTGAATATGAATAAAAAAAATAAAAGCAAAAAAAAAAAAAGATGCCTTTCAAACTCTGATTCTGAAAAAAAAAATTAATACAGAATTTCCAAGAATTTTTGTGCTCACATCCCTAGAAGAAACTCCGCTAGCAAAACTTTCCTCTTGACTGAAAAGGTACTATCCAGTAGGCTTAATCCTAAAACAGAAAGTGAGAGATAGCAATTTGCTAGTTGAGGTGGAAACATAGGGAACATGCAGAAAATAAAGATGAAGGCCTTTCATAATATCGAAATTAAAACCTTCCATTATGCAAGATTGAATACATCTAAGGGAGTCATTAGAAGTAAATAGTTGTCTCTGGCCACACCTGAGGAAATTATATCTGCCTTAAGAAACCAAGGGGTCAGCAATTGCCATAGAATCTCAATTAAAAGAAAAGGAGGGAAACAATTATAACTGACACATATACCCTTACTTTTGGCACACCTGACCCCCCACAAAAAAATAAATAAATAAAAAATAGGGTACAATATTGAGCCAGTGGAACAATATATCCCTGCTCCACTAAGATGCTTTAAGTGCCAAAAATTTGGATATTATAGGGATAGCTGCAGGAGTCACCTAACTTGTGGAAAATGTGGCCGAAGGGATTTAAGCCATACTAAAGAAGAATACCATGATGTGCTCTCAGGAAAGCCATCCAGCATACTCATGAACATGCGATTTCTAGAAAAAGGAAAGGGAGATTGTCAAAGTAAAATATAAAAGAAATATCTCATTCTCAGAAGCAAGGCAAGTAGTAGAAGGTTACTTAAAAGATGCTTCCTACATAAAAATAACAGAAAATAAGACTACAAATAATGCTGGTCAGCCTGACAAATACAGAGCCCTCATTGAGAAGTTACACATGGGACCAAATGAATGGCTCAAATTTCAAACTTACCTAAAAAGTCTATATTCCAAGAAAATGGATGGTGCAGGCTGAACTGCAAAAAAAAAAAAAGAAGGAACAATGAAGGAACTGAAATAATAAATAAAGAAAAAACAAATAGTAAAATGACAGGTCAAGCACAAATCATTCCTACCAAAAATACCAAATCTCCTACTAAACAAAGGTTACAGTGATCTCCTATCTGTCCACCAAAACCCAGGAAATACAGACTGAAAAGCTTATCTCCCAAAATCAGCCAAACTAAAGCAGGAAATCCACAACGACCAAATTCTGACGCAAAACTGATTTGACGGATTAGAAAAGATGGAGGTGAAAAGCCAAAACCCTCAAACAGCTAAAAACTCCAAAATGAAAACCTAGGAAAAAAGAAATCAAAACCACATAAGCTAAAGTCTGAAAACGTTTAAACAGCCATGCATAAGATAATTCAACGGAACTGCCATGGAATAAAGGCAAATATAAATGAACTGCCTTTGTTAATGACAGACCTGTCACTGTCAATTGTTTGCCTTCAGGAAACATTTCTTAAGCAAGGTGACAAAGTGAATATAAAAGAATACCAGCAATGCAACTGGACACATGACACTGGGCTTCCTGCATCTGGCAGTATATCTATCCTATGTGACATTATTTAGCTATAGTAATTGATTAACTAATTAACCCTAAAACTTAAACAAGAAAATACTGAGAACGGAAAACTTTGATTTACATAAATGCATTTACTGGCAGCTACTCTGCAATACATTTATCCGTATATGACCCATCAATCTATATGGATTTCTCTTGGAAGGTTCTAGTAGACACATGCAGTAATGATCACTTGCCAATTGTTCTGCAAAATTCAAAACATAATGATAAAAATCCTCTCTTTTGGAAATTAGGTGGAGCGAACTGGGACAAAAACTTCCCAGATATGTGGAGGCAGTTATTCATCATCCCTATTCCAAGACCTGGGAAGGATGATGCAGACCCTGAAAGCTACAAGGCGATAGCTCTAACAAGCTGCCTATGTAAAAATATGGAGAGAATGGTTAACAGGTTGACTTGGTATCTAACAGCCTAATCAGTGATTACCAATGTGTTTTTAGGAAAAAATGAAGTACCATGGATCACTTAATATACCTAGAAACCTTTGTAAGGGAAGCTTTCATTAAGAAAACATCTCATGGCAATCATTTTTTAACTTAGAAAAGGCATACAATACAACATGAAAATT